TAACAAACTGTCAACTGTTTTCCAGAGTGGCTATATCACTTTACATTCCCATCAACATGGGTGATCCAGTTTCTCTGCATTCTTGCCAACATTTGGTGTTGTCACTATTTTTTTTTTTAATCTTAGTAATTCTCAGTGTATGGTGACAGCTCATTGTGTACTTGAACTTGCATTGTCTCTTTTGACTAGTGATGTTGAACATATTTATATATTTTTACTTGCCATCTGTGTGTCCTCTTAGGTGAAATGTCTGTTTATGGCTTTTGCTAATGAGATTTATTATTTTTAACTGTTAAGTTTTTAAAGTACTTTATATTTCTAGATGCAGATTGTTTGTGGAATATGTGGTTTGCAAATATTTTCTCCCACTCTTTAGTTTGACTTTTAATTCTCTTCACATAAACTTTTACTAAGCAAAAGTTTTTAATTTTGATGACCACTAATTTATCAACTTTTTTCTTTAGGGGATCATGCTTTACTGTCAAGTCTAAAAACTCTTTACTCTGAAATAGTTTTTTTTTACATGCACATTAATATTTATTCTGTGTCTTTCATGGTCTTCCCTTTATTACTAATGATGTTTTATATTCTCTCTTTCTGTTTTCCTGATAGTTCTTGCTAAATGTTTGCCTACTTCTTTCCACCCAATATTTGGCTTACTTTGTTACCACACATTTTTTTATTTTAGAATTTTGTCATTTTATCATTAATCTCATCTTTCTACTTTTTCTAATATCTGCCTTTTTAATAAATACATTTACGAGTATAAAATTTTCTGTAATATTACATTAGTTTCAATTGGTAAGTTTTAAAATATACTATATCTGTTCTTTACAAATGATTAATAGAGGAGATATTTAAGGGTAAGGTATTAACTTACATAGCAACATGCTTTAGTTATGTGTTCACTATTTTGTGGGTTTTATTGCTAATTAAATTTATAATTTGCTTACAAACTCATTTATGATCAATTTAGTATACTCTCTTTTGGCAGTAAATTAATTTTCAATTATGAAAGTAATTAAATTATTTTAAATTTAATGATAATTTACTAATATATTTTTACTACAAATCTGATCGAAATGCATTATTTCAAAACTTCTTAGCTATAGTTTTATTGTTGGATTGCCAGTATGTTTGTAACATTTTAAAATTGAATTTATTGGACTTATTTATTCGTTAATAAAATTATATAGGTCTCAAGTGTGCAATTCTGTAATACATCATGTGTGTATTGTATTGTGTGCTACCACCCAAAGTCAAGTCTCCTTCTGTCACCATATATTTGGCCCCCTTTATTCTTTACTACCCTCACCTCCCTTCCCTCTGGTAACCACCATACTGTGGTCTGTGCCTATGAGGTTTTGTTTATTTTGTCTTTCTTGCTCATTCATTTGTTGTTTTCAGTTTATAGAACACACTAGACGCCCAGTGCATGAAATTCATGCACTGGAGGGGGGTGTCCTTCAGCCCAGCCTGCACCCTCTCCAATCTGGGACCCTTGGGGAATGTCCTACTGCCGGTTTAGGCCTGATCCCTGTCAGTCAGACATCCCTCTCACAATCTGGGACTGCTGGCTCCCAACCGCTCGCCTGCCTGATTGCCCCTAACTGCTTCTGCCTGCCAGCCTGAATGCCTCCTAACCACTCCCCTGCCAGCCTGATCGATGCCTAACTGCTCCCCTGCCGGCCTGGTCGCCCCCAACTGCCCTCCCCTGCCAGCCATCTTGTGATGGCCATCTTTGACCACATGGGGGCAGCCATCTTGTGTGAGGGCATGGTGGTCAATTTGCATATTACCTCTTTATTATATAGTATATGAATGAGATCACATGATTCTTGACATTTTCTGTCTGACTTATTTTGTTTAGCATGATATTCTCCAGATCCATTTATGTTTCCAAATGGCAATATTTTGTCCTTTCTTATGGCTGAGTAGTATTCCATTGTATATATGTAACACATATTCTTTATTCAATCATCTTTCAAAGAACATTTCAGTTGTTTCCATGTCTTAGCCATTGTGAATAATGCTGCAATGAACAGAGGAGTGCATATATCTTTGCAAATAAATGTTTTCCATTATAGGGGGATAAACACCCAGAAGAGAGGTTGCTGGGTCATATAGTAATTGTATTCTTAATTTTCTTATGACACTTCTATATTGTTTCCCAGAGTGGCTGTATCAGTTTAAATTCCCACCAGTAGTGAATAAGGGTGCCTTTTTCTACACAACCTCTTCAACATTCGTTATTACTTGTCTTCTTGATAACAGCTATTCTAACAGGTGTGAGGTGGTAGCTCATTGTAGCTTTAATTTTTATATTCCTGATAGCTAATGAAGGTGATCATCTTTTCATACATCTCTTGGCAATTTGTATGTCTTCTGATCAGGTTCTCTGCCCATTTTTTAATTGGATAGTTTGTTTGGTTTGGTATTGAGTTCTATGAGTTCTTTATATATTTTGGACATTAATCACTTGTCAGAGGTATTGTTTGCAAATATCTTTTTCCATTTGGTTTGTTGCCTTTTTGTTTTGTTGACAGTTTCTTTTGCTGTGAAGAAGCTTTTTAATTTGATATAGTCCCATTTATTTATTTTTGCTTTTATTTCTATTTGCCTTTGAGCTCAGATTAATAAAATCCTCTTTAAGACCAAGGTCCAAAAGTTTATTAACTATGTTTTTTCCTATGTAATTTATTGTTTCAGGTCTTATATTTAGGCCTTTGATCCATTTTGAGTTAATTTTGTATCTGGTGACAGACAGCAGTCTAGTTTTATTCTTTTGCATGTGGCTTTCCAATTTTCCCAGCACCATTCATTGAAGAGGTTTCTTCCTCCCCGCCCCCTTGTATCTTTCATCAAAAATTATGTGCCCATCTACATGTGGATGCATTTCTGGGCTCTCAATTCTCTTTTATTGGTCTGTGCATTTTTTATGCCAATACTATGCTATTTTGATTATGCAGCTTTGTAGTATAATTTGAAATCTGGGAGTGTGATACCTCCAACTTTGTTCTTTTTCTCAGGATTGCTTTGGCTTTTTGGGTCTTTTGTGGTTCCATACAAATCTTGTGATTTTTTGGTTCTGTTTCTTTAAAAATTTTGATGGGGATTGCATTAAATGGGTATGTTGCTTTGGGTAATATGGCCATTTTTAACCATGTTGATTATTCCAATCCACAAATATGGATTTATCAAAGGATGTGAAGGACCTATACACTAAAAACTATAAGACATTATTAACACATATTGAAGAAGACACAAAGAAATATTTGTAACATTTTTAATACTATCATTTTATGATTATCACTTCTTTACTTAAAAACCCACATTCCATACTGGGTAGAAGAATTTTCAGAAAATTGTTTAAGTAGACTAGTTAACTGCACATTTCAACTCAGCTATATTCTTTATAATATTAATCTGTCTTGATATCATCCCTGAGAGATGTGTAAGATGCTCCCAACGTGGTTGTGGAATTGCTGGTTTGACCTGTAACAGCACCAATTATTCTGTTGGCTATTCCAGCTCCATGTATTGTTTGGATGCAGGTTCATAGGTATTAGAGCTTCTTGTTGAAATGTTTCTCTTATTATCACATAACATGCAATCGTATTGCTATAAATGCTTTCAGCCCTCAATCCAACCATGTTCCCATTGCTATAAGAGCATTCTTTCAGTTGCCATTTGACTAGAAATATATGAGAAAGAATTGGCCCACAATAAGGGGCTTGTAATGCGAGCGATACATTTCTACACTTGACCATGGTATCTTGTTAAGTGGGTGGCAAATGTTCCAGATGATGAGGAGAGAGCGTCTGGATGACTCAGGTGGGCATGCTGGACAGAGCAGGGACTGAGTCCCTCCGTTTTGGAGCTGTGCCTGTGTCCAAGGCTGTCAGACACCCTCTGGCTAGAGCCCATCTTGAAAGGAGACCCATGCTCTTACACTCTCCCTCTGCATTTCCTGCCCTGGCAACAATTCAAGGTTATTTGTCTACCACACAGCTCCTGGAATGATACTTTGCTGCAAAGCCCATGGACCTGGACCTGGTTGAGTTTGCAATAATGCTCATACCACCTTCCAGAGTTCTGTCACAGGCAGGTCCTATGACCAGCTGTGTTCAGCCGAAGGTACTTGGTACTGAATACGTGCATTGTTCCTGTTCATTAGTCCCTGTCTCTGTCCCTGTCCCCTTGGCATTTGGGACTCTTAGGACTACCACTGTCTCTGCCAAACCTCTACATCCTGTCTACATCAGGTTTGAGGGGTGCTGGCTAGCTTCAACTGACTCTCACATCTCTTTGGCATGAGGCTGGTGTGCCAGTGCATCAGACTCAAAGCAACAAGAAAAACGAACCATGTCCAGCCTTCATCCCAAGGCCCCCAGGTGGCCACAACTCAGGCTGGCGATTCTCAGGCAGGTGCTGGTGCCCTTTCCCAGAATGTAGCTACAGGTTGCCTTCTTGCACCCCCAAAGCTGGCTCTGGAAAACCCATCTTTTTGGCTCCGCCCCTCCTTGTCTTGCTAACCTTCACTCTACTGCTGTGTCAGAGGATCACCTTCCATTTCTACCTCTTGCACGTGTGCCCTCATTATAGACTCTGGTTCTGGGGCATTCAAGTGAAGTCTTCCTTCCCCACTGAAGCTCTGAGGGAGTCCTATGGCTGGGATTCAGCTACAGGGGTCCTCGTCTCCTATCGCTGATCCTTCCCAACCCACCCTGCCAGGGCCTTGTTCCTTTGTCCTGGACAGGAGACAATTTTAACTACTTTGGACAGAGGAGGGAGGGTCACATGTGGGAGGGGACAGGGTGTCACAGCAGAGAGGAGGCTCACAGGAAGGATATGTCCTGGAGTAGATTAGTTGGACCACTGCCCAGGGAAGCTTGAGTGGAGTCTGAGCCAGAAAGGCTGTGGGTGGCTGGTTGCCTGCACCTCTGAGGTGTCTGCAATGGAGATGAGCTCTGCCTGGGTCATGTTCCTGCTTCTCGCAGGTTCCCAGGTCCGAGTGACTCACAGCTGGAGGATGAGCGATGAGGGAAAAGGCATAGAAAGTTATTTCCTTGCCACCGTGGAGTATGCCTTACACATATTCAACGTGAAGAGCAAGGACACGAATGCCTACAGGCTGGTGAGCATCCTGGACTCCCAGAGGGAGAAGGTAGGTGACTGCATCTTCCTGCGCTGCTGGCCTTCACTTGTAGTAAGTCAGGGTAAAAGACAGGGGACTTAGCAAAGGATCTTGTATGCCATTTGAAGTTTATAAAATATACAAACTATTCATTTTCAGGTTTTATAAAAGCTTTTACATGGAAATTTTAAAAATTAGATCAATGTCTACTCACATGCAATATTTTTTCAATCTTTATGTCATTGTTTAATGAAAAATGACATCAAAATGTAGTCAATGAGGGGAGAAAGAGAAAGATGTCCAGACACACAGAGAAAATGCTTAAAAAGTTAGGGTGAGGAAAGAGTTCAAGGAAATGAAATAAAACAGGGCCTCTGCTGTGACTTCCGTGAGCCCTGGGCTCCCTGATGTGGTATCCACCTCTGTGGATGGATGTTATTTTACACTCTTCCCCAGGCCATGGTTTTGAGTCCTTAAAGGTTCTCCTTGTCATGGACTCTCTTTCAGAATGCGACCAGCGATGCCATTTTCATTTGGGCTGCAGACGTGAACAATGAAAACACTCGCCCAAAGGAGCGCTTCTGGCTCTGTGTGTGTGAGTGTGTGAGTGTGTGAGTGTGTGTGTGTGTGTGTGTGTGTGTGTGTGTGTGTGTGTGTGAGTGTGTGTGTGGTGCCGGGGGCATTACTCTCTCACCCTCTGGACCTCTGCACTGAGAGTCCGCATGAAGGGCAAAGGGTCCCCACCCTCCACTGACCTTAACCCTCTGTGACACTGGTTCAGGCACCCTGGGCTCTCTCAGGCTGGACCTCTGGCGGGGATTTTTATATCCAGAGTCACAGACTGAGTTTGGGTGCTGGGGATAATGGAGTGGATGCCGTGGGAGACGATGGAATAAAATGAGTAGAACGGAGTGGAGAAGAGTACAGAACATTTCACAGTGCACTTTGTAATAGAAGTTGTTTCTTGAAGCCATCGTCGTGTGTGTGTGTGTGTGTGTGTGTGTGTGTGTGTGTGGTCTCACTAGCATCGTATGGCATTTTTCTGATGTTGGGCAGGTGAAGGGTGTGACAATGGGGCGATAGATGAGTCTCCCACTCCGGGGTGGAGATGATCAAGCAAACTCTTGCAGGGCCAACACCCTCCCAGCCACTTGTCACCTCCCTGGGAATGCTGTGGAAGCAGGAAGCATTGAAAAGAAAGGTGGGGTCTCACTTGGCGTTTGCAAATGTGAGGCTGCAGTGTGTGGTATTAATAGTGTGTGATCAGCTTGCTTTTACCCTGAAGGCTCCACCGGGCTATGTGCCTCTTTGTCCGGAACACCCCAAGTGTAGCTTTAACACAAGTGTGCTGATCCAGACCCAGAGGGAAGCCCCGGAGAGAGTAAGGTTGGGCCTGTTCCTGCACTCCATGTGTCACCACCAGCAACTCCTTAAAGGGACCATGAGGAATGTTTCCCCTCTAATGTCTGTCTGTACCACAGATAGAGACCCTGATGGCTTTCTCCATGGAGCTGAAGCTTCGCAGAACCAGGTGTGGGAAATTTGATGAAGACATTGACAACTGCCCCTTTGAAGAAAACCCCGAGCTGAACAACGTAAGACACACATGAGCCTCCTTCAGGTTCCAGAGCTGTGGACCTGCATAGGGGTGTTGTGGGGGGTGGGGCAGAGGACATACCATTCCTAGGGACACAAGAGGGAAGGGGCTACTGGCCCTACGACAGCCACTGCTTCTGCTAAAGACAGAGCCCAGCCTAGCAGGTAAGCCCCAGGGTCCACTTGCAGGCCCCTGGCCAATGTGAGATCCTAACTGTCCACTCAACCTGTTCAGCTGTCTGAACCTCGGGCCATACCGGTGACAGATTGTTCCTGCCCCTAACGGTCCGGGTGTCTTGATTCTGGCCAGAGGATGTTCTCTTCCTGCTCTGCAGCCACTGCCCTTTCCTGCCTTCAGAGGAGGAATATGTCAGGAGTGGCCAACATCACCGTTGACTGAGTGGCCATTCCTCAGGTCCCCCTGTCACTTCGCAGAACTGATGGGGGTTTGGGTGAGGGGAGCCCACTGCCCTGTGTCCCATGCTCTGCCTCAGGCCCTGCTGAGCTGCAGTTCCTGCCAGGGGGGTAAGGGAAAGTGAATTCCTGCTCTAGGACAAGCCCACCTCAGGTCAGGGCTACTTGAGGTAAGGCCCGCTGGGAAGGATCATGTGTTGCTGTACTAGAGGCATGGGCCACTCAGGGACAGCCCAGAGGTTCTTCTGGGGAGAGCAGAGTGGTACAGGAGACCCTGGGGTTAGGAGTGAGCCAGGTGAGGAACATCTGAGACTTAGACTGAGGGCCAGAGCCTGCGTTCCCCCAGCTGCTCACCTTGCAGATGCAAATTTGGGATGGATGTTATCTTTAGGGCTTGGAGTCACCAGCTTCCAAAGTCTTCTTCACCCACAATTTATTCCTGTGCTTATTCCCTCAGACCTTCATCTGCTTCTTCACCATCAGCATCGATCCCTGGAGAACAATGTTTCAGCTCCTAAACAAGACCTGCCTGGAGGGGACCTACTGAGTGATATCACACTCCAGCCCAGCCTCTCTAGCCCCCTCTCTGTAGGTGGCCCTTCCGTGGCTGAGCAGCTCTGAACTCACTCTGTTCTCTGCCTTGCAAATATCTGGAGCCTCACACACAGGCATTGTGGAAATTCCTCAGTGTCCATTTTCTTTCATGTAGAATAGTCCATTAAACATCAGCATTTCGAAAGGCACTGTGGGCACGGTTCCTGACTGAGGGGGATGGGCAGTTGCTGGGCAGCTCGGTGGCCCAAGGGGTGGGTCATCTCTCCCCTTGCACCTCCTAAGCCAGCTCCAGGTGGCACAAATAAGGCGCCTCTGAGCAGCTAGCTCAGGGCTCATGAGGGATAACCATGTCCCCAGAGGGACAATGACCATGACCAAGGTGGGGAACCCTTGTCTGAAGGATGGAAGCAGACAGGGCCTCAGGCCCCTCAGGACACATGTGGCCTCTGTTCGGGGGTCTTGCTCACACACATTTCCTGGTCCATGACAGCTGGGACAATGGAGGAGGGGACTCTAGCCTCCACTCTAAGAGCAAGCAAGGCCAGCGGCAGTGGCAACGGCAGCTCTAAGACCCTTTTGGAGATGTGTGTTCTCAGGGCCTGCACCTTTGGACCAGGAGACTGCATTTTACAAATCTCTAGGGACCCCAGGGCCAGTTAAAGACTGAGAGGCACTGGCTGCTGTGCCAGGTGCTATTGGGACTCCGGCCAAAATGCCTAGAACAGGATTTGGCAAACTTTTTCGGTACAGAGGAAGAGTCACTCTTGGGCTTTTGTGGGCATGTGGTCTTCTCCACTCTGCAATGTCACCTTGTGTCTGAAAGCACTAGGGGCAATGAGAACACAAGCAGGGTGGTCTTCTTCCAATGGGACTTTATGTGTATAGACAGGCAGAGGGTGGGTTTGGCCCAGAACCAGTACCCTGACACTAGGTGCCCCACCCACCCCTGCAGCTGGAGGTCCAGGAGCAGCACACTGGGAACAGGGTTGGATCAAGAGCTGAAAGCATCTATAGCAATACAACTGCAGGTTATGTGATAATAAGAAAAATAATTCAACATAAAGCTCTAATACCTATGAACCTGCACCCAAACAACATGTAGAGCTGGAACAGCCAACAGAATCATTGGTGCTGTTACAGGTCAAACCAGCAATTCCACGATCATGTTTGAAGCATCTTACACATCTATCAAGGATGATATCACGAAGGATAACCATACCGACGACCTGCCTTCCTCCATCCAACGCAGTTAAAATTGTCTCCTGTCCAGGACAGAGGAACAAGGCCCTGGCAGGGTGGGTTGGGAAGGATCAGCTACAGGAGAAGAGGTCCCCTGTAGCTGAATCCCAGCCATGGACTCCCTCAGGGCCTCCGTGGGGAAGGAAGACTTCACTTGAGTGTCCCAGAACCAGAGGCTGAAATGAGGACACAGGTGCAAGAGGTAGAAATGGAAGGGGATCCCCAGACACAGTAGCAGAGAGAAGGTCAGCAAGACAAGGAGGAGCAGAACTGAAAAGGGTGTTTCCCAGAGCCAGTTGCTGAGTGATAGGAGGCAACCTGCCCAGCGATGAATATGCATTTATTAGGAACTAGAGTCCCAGTGCACGAAATTCGTGCACGGGTAGGGTCCCTAGTGGCTGCCAGCTGCCGGCCAGGGCCTCCCTTCTCCCGGCTGCCTGCCACCGCTGCTGGTTGGGGGGAGGGGCTGTGGGCATTTGGCCGGCCAGCCCCACCCCTTAGTTGAACTCCCGGTTGAACTCCCAGTCAACAGGAAAATTTGCGTATTAGGCTTTTATTATATAGGATGTACAGAAGGGGCACACTGAGGTGTTTTTTTTTTTTTTGGTTGGGTTTTTTTTGTTTTGTTTGTGTGTATTGTGTTTGAAAATTAAATGCACCAGCAGAGCTGGTTTTGTTTAAAAAACATTTCTATATATATTATTGATTTTTCACAGAGACGAAGGGAGAGGGATAGAGAGTTAGAAACATCGATCAGCTGCCTCCTGCACACTCCCCACTGGGGATGTGCCCACAACCAAGGTACATGCCCTTGACCGGAATCGAACCCAGGACCCTTGCGTCCGCAGGCCAACGCTCTATCCACTGAGCCAAACCGGTTAGGGCCCACACTGAGGTTTTTATGGGCCCCAGTGTTTCCTTGTCTCACTGGCTCCTCAGACCCCCTGTGGCTTCTGAAACAGACTGGACTCACTGGCTCCTGGGCTGTGGCCTCACTAGGGATGTTGGAGGATGAAGCTGAGCTCAGTGCATCACTCTTTGTGCAACTTCTCAGCTTGTGGATGCGCTTCCATGAGCTAAGCTGCGGGCCCGGCTGGATGAGCAAATGCCTTCTCTCCAGAGGGGTTTACAGGAGATGGCCCCAACATGCGCTGCACCTATTGGTTTCTTTGTAGGAATTTATTTCTAGAATAGGAGGAGTGAAAGAGAAACAGAGAGAAGAGTTAACCAAATGAGCTCCAGGGATTCCTGAGCTGTATACATTAGGTGACCATTGGTGCCCTCTGGTGGCCACAGTTGTCACAGCTCAGCGAGCACAATTTGCTGTGTGCAGTTTCTAGAGAAGGGACATTCAAGGCCCACAGCTGGAATAGCAAATGCAGCTCTTGGACGATTAAATAACACTCGCTTTGCAAACAAGCTTCAGCTCTGTGCCATGAATTAGGCCTCCAGCATCTGTGTGAAGCTGCTTGTGAACTTCAAAAGGTACCATCACCCCCGAAGGCCTGTGGACACCCAGGTCCCTGTGCTCATCCCTATCCCAGGATTCTGACCCAGTAGGTCTGGGAAGGCCTGGAGGGCTTGCTTCTTACCCAGAAACCAGCAGGTGGTGATATTCTTGGTTTCTGGCTCCCACTCTGAGTAGCGCAGTCACAGTGAGTCCCTTGGCTTGGATGCAGCCAATCACATGGAGAAGTCACTCAACTGTAAGGGTGGGTGCTTGAGTAGGGTTTCTGGGGCCACACTGAATCCAGGAAAGGGTCAAAACTTCATGCCGGGTGATAAAGAAAAAGAGTTTACAGACCCCAGGCATCAGCTTGTGGGTGTGCTTCCATGAGCTAAGCCTGAGGGCCTCTCTGGATGAGTAAATGCTTATGGAAGGAGAGAAGGCTGCTTTGACCCTAAGTGTTCCTCAGAGTTGATGCCCTTCGCCACCAGAGGGAGCTCTTAAATCTGTCCCAGCCATCCCATCCCCAGGTTTCCCACACTCAGGAGAGCCTGCTGCCAGCTCTCAGCTATGCTCTCCCCAGAGACACCGTCTTCCTGTTCCTGACCAGGCAAGCATACCTGTCTATCCTCCATGCGTCTTTGTGATTTTCTTTCCAGACAAGGTTCCAGGTTCACTGTCCGTTGTCTCCCACCAGAAAACAACTCAGTCCTGTAGGACAACAGCAGGTTGGGATGTGCTATTTGCCACGGATAAGCAATTTGATAAATCACACGTGAAAGCAGCCAGATGTGCAGCAGAACTCCACCCAAACAGGTTGCATTGTATGCAAAATTATTGAGCCATAAAAAAGCAGGAAATTTCCCCCAGTATGGATGGACCCAGAGGACATTATGGTAAATGACATAAGCCAGACACAGGACAAATGCTGCATGATTTCACATTTTTTTATTGTTTAAAGTATTACATGTCTCCTTTTTCCCCCAATTAACCTCCCCCCCTCACTCCCACACCTGAGGGCAAGCCCCCAGTGCCCCAGTGTCTGTGCCCATTAATCATGCTAATATGCATGCGTACAAGTCCTTCGGTTGATCTCTAACCACCCTCTCCCCTGCCTTCTCCCCGAGGTTGGACGGTCTTCTCAGTGCCACCTTGTCTCTGGGTCCATTTTGTTCATCAGATTATGTTGATCATTATATCCCACATATGAGTGAGATCATGTGATATTTATCTTTCTCCAACTGGCTTGTGATTCCACTTTTTAAAAATATATATATATATTTTATTGATTTCAGAGAGGAAGGGAGAGGGAGAATCATTGATCTTCTGCTTCCTGCATGCCCCCTACTAGGGATCAAGCTCATAACCTGGGCATGTGCCTCACCGGGAATTGAACAGTGACCTCCTGGTTCATAGGTTGACACTCAACCATTGAGCCACACCAGCTGGGCTGCATGAATCCACTTTTCTAAGAAAGCCAAAATAATTAAGCTCACAGAAGAAGAAAGCAGAGTGTGGCTCCCAGGGATGAGGGAAGTGAAATGGAAAGATGTTGGTCAAAGGGCATAAAATTATGCAGGATGAATAATTTGGGGAAATCTGCCGTACAACCTGGAACCTACAGCTAAAAATACTGTATTGTGCACTTAAACATGTGCTAGAGTGTAGATAGTGCTCTTACCACAAAATGAAAAATTAAATTAACTAAAATAATGGACTTGGGAAGACAACTTTTGCAGGTATAAGTGTATGGTCTTGGTTATGGTGATGATTTCATGGTGTATACTAATTTCTAAACTGGGTTGTAGACATTGGATATCAATCATACTTCAGGATAGTGGTTTAACTAAAGCAAAGAGAAAGAGATTGTATCTTTTCTCAGGAGACTTTAAGTTCAATAAAACTGCCATCAAAACATAAGTAATATGGTTTTTTAGCTTGAGAAGGATTGTGCATGTTTGGGACTGGAATGGGTGTCAGCAATCTTAGGAGCATCTTCATGGGTTTTGGGGGGAACAGGCTGTGGCGATCTGTGTGAAGTGGAGTCCTAACACATCTGGACAGGTTGCAAGTGTCTCGACAGTGTCCAAACAATGAACACAGAGGCCACCTCCACTTTGCCACTGAAGGGGACTGAACAACATGGATCCGTCCTGCAGACATCAATGTGCTCCCTGTCCTAAGAGCCCAGGTGTATTCCAAAGGAATGTCCACACCTACTCTTACATGAGGGCTGGTTTAGACCTCGGTGCACTGTGTCTGTCCTCACTTGCAGCCGAGGAGAGGATGGGGATGGTCACACCCAG